CCCCAAAACCCCAAAACCCCAAAACCCCAGAGCAATGTGGCTTGGTTGAAACCAATAAAATTTATGTCAGTCATATTATCATTAATGTGCTGGTTTTAGCTTGTTTAATCTTCGGATAGTATTGTCTAGATCTAATAGTCATTGCTCAAGAAAATTATTAAATCAAGCATAAGAATTTGGAACCGATAGCTTACATTCAGATTTAGAAATATTTCTTTACCATGATTTTTAGAGGTGCTTCCGGGAACTGCCGTACTGGGGAGCTCTTGCCGCTATAACTTGTCCTCATAATCGATCCTCTATTTCCTGGCTTCAGTGGCCTAAGAATTATGTCAAAGAGTTACATAAATGAGTTATTGAGCCTCATAACTAGCTTGTCAGGACTTTCTTCATAACGACTTAATTTCTGAGCCCTGAAGCTATTTTTCATTGACTTTTTCTTTGAACCTCATGTCATCGACATCATTTGTGACTCTGTAAGTAACTTTGATTTTGGTTTAGTCCTGGGTTTATCCTCAGGGCTAGACACAAAACCATCTTTCTTTACAATCTTTTCAAGGGATTCTGATGATTTAGAAAGTAATGAACTAATTATCATTAATAGCCTTGTTTTGCAAGTATTTAAGATCTTTGCTTTTAATGAAATCTTGAGTCTGGTTCGAGGGCTCCCTACTTCTTAAACTTTCTCTTGCTATAACTGTAAGGGTATTCCAATACCAAGACTGACGGGTTTGAACTGCTGAATCTGTACCAATAAGGGCTAAAATTACCATATCAATATTCTTTTGGATCTCTTGGTTCTCCGGCTTGAGTAGCTCACTTCTGAAGGATATTAGCTTATTTGTTGTTGTTCATTTTAAGTTTTTCCTGGTTCTCTCGAGCCTCACTCATATCTATACTATAGCTGATGTAGTACCTTTTAAGTGATATTTTTCTTGGAAGTACCCGATATATTCATCATCACTGTGATCTTTGATAGATGCCTTCTGACCTTTGAGATGGAGTTTATGTAGAGTTTTACAAGACTCACACTCTTTTTCTCGTGTAAGATCTTTCAGATCCTCTGTGTCATTCAGTGAGTTTAGCCTCATATGAAATCTATCTTGACTGAAGTTCTTGGAGTTGTTCATATATTCACGAGGAATACTATTACTAAGGGATTCTTTTTGATGTTTAGAGCAGAGGTACTTAGGCCAATCTATATCGATAAGATGCCAAGGTTTACTCTCTCTATGTCTTTTGAAAGAAGTCGAAATTTTCATTAGCTTCGCTTGATGATGATCTGTATATTAATAGGGCTGATTACCTCCTCTTCTTCTGATTATTTTATTTTCGGCGAGAATACGAGCAAATTTCATAAGGAACATAGATATTTTGCACTGATAGATCAGGCTTTCGGTGTGACTTTTCAATCAGTCTCTTTAAAACTCCCTGTCCTAGCTTCTTCAAAGTGGTCTTGTTATAAGGAACATGGTATTTTTGGTACAAAGGTCCAAATACTGGTAGAACTTTAGCCATTGTCGTTTGGGGTGGTCGGAATCCAAATAGCTTCATCCCATCAATTTTATTTTTCCTCCTAGAAAGGATTAAACTTTTTCCTAATTGTTAGAAGACTAATCCAAGGTGGGAGTTTACAACAGAAAATGTGATAGAATTTTGTAATATTAACTATAATTTCTTACTTCGAGCTCTTCTTTTTATGCTTACTAGCATGGGCACTCCTGCTCTGGTGCTTAGCAGTACCTACTGGAGTTGTCAGTAGCTTAAATTCCCCTCTAAAATGATTCACTGGGAGCATGTTTTATTCAGACTTAATAAATTTAATATCAATAATTGAATATAAATAAGGGGTTTTGGGGTTTTGGGGTTTTGGGGT